TCTTGGGTGGCAAGCGGGCGAATTAATCAAAGTGCTGCACTATCAAAGACAAAAAACGTACCACATGTAGTTTAGGGCGGGTTTCCGAACTAGCACAACCCAATATTGGCTCCCTCGTTACTTTGAAGGACACGAACCTGAAACTTCCGGGAATTCGACGTGATCTGAGTCAGCATAGGCCACGACAATGTCCTTGAATGATGTAGAGGTCTGGCAGTGGAAACTTCCGTGAGCTGTTCAAAGGATCGCCTTGTTCACTTGGTCCTTGCCATTTGACACACCCCACTTCCTTAAATCAGAAGACAGACCTGAATGCTAAAGCCACAGGAACTTGTCCAAGTCTGCATCTCCTACTACTCCTGGAACATCATTTATGCGTGCTATTGAATATGGGCTTGATCAGGAACTCTTCATGACATGCGGGGTAATTTTGGCACGTTGCATGTCCAAGGACAGCCATGATAAGGCATTGTAGCCTTCATGCATGATGGAAGCGTGTGCGAGATATCGTCTAACAAAACGATAAGCATTTAAAAAGGAGCTTATTATGACTACCTGGCCCTACTTATCGGCAGGGTTCCAACAGAATGCGCCCAAAAATGAAGGCGGTACTCAGTGGAGCATGAAGGAACCACTAAAACCCTGCAAAAGCCCCGAGGTACCATTAAATTTGTCATACCCAGCATACAGTGTAATCATTGAAGTATGGTAATCAGCATGGAGTGAGACCACATTCTGTAGCCAATAGTGGTGCAACAGTCTTTGTTAGAGAGTCAAACATGTAAGCCTCATTGGCTTAGGCCACACAGATGACATAAATACCTCTTAACATGCCGCTTCCCGTTAAATCGGTACAATTCTGTACATGGATAGTGAGCCGGTGGGGTGGGGGAGGGGGCTAATGAGATCTAATCCGGAGGACATAGGGAGGCAGACGTGTCGGCCCACATCTTTAGTCTATGTTATGCATTGTTGTCTCAAACGGAGTATCTTAATACATGGAAGACGTCTACTCAACAGTTGGATTTTTTGTTGCATTAAAAAGTGTGAAATTAAGGACTCAATCGGTATTTTGCAGGCGTTTCGGCACCTCGTATTATTAACGAGGACAAATGCTGCCTTAAGCAATTATCTGTCCGTTTTGTGGATCAAAATGAAATCGGAAACCGTAGTGGATTTACTTCGCTCCTTTGCAAACTCCAACAATGTGCGCCTTTACATCAATGACGCGACTTCAAAAATCAATTAAAAACACCATTTCGGAGTTCGGAAACACTACGTATTGGGTTTTATTTGTATTCACGAGAGCGTACAATCGGTTTATACAACGACTTTGGTACGACGAGTCGAAGTCAGGTAATGCGCCTTGTCACTGTTTGTGAGGTGCGCGTGCGTGTGTGACGGTCAGGTGTGCGGATTCTGCAACCCAGGTCCCCGTCTGTCGATCAAAGGAAGTCGCTATGACACCAAAGCGAGGTGCTTTTGTTTAAGTGTGAATAAATAAAATGAAAAAAAAAAATCAAGAACTTTGTTCTGGGTGTCTGTCGTCACTCAGCGTGAATAATCACCCTCGCTAACCTCAGCCGTAGCTGTCCAATTCCATAATCCACCCGTTCATTCAGGTATTTGCTTGAAGAAATTATGATTTGGAATGACGTTCTACGATGATTGAGGAAAGATTCTGTGTCGTCAATAATGGAGAAATGAGAAAATGCTGTATTTAGGGAACAAACTTAGCCCCTTGTTCACTTTCGGTAAACAAACATACTTAGGCAAGAAGCCATTTTCGACAGGGCTGTGGCTTCACGCGAAACCAACTTTTTCATCGCAAGGCTGAGTGGAAAGCTTTTTTTAGAAATGATTAACAGTCTCACCGTGTTTTAACTTTTATTAAAGTTCTGAAAATTTATTAACTGTTAACTTAGGCAAATCAATCTCTGCCTATATTCGTTCAATTCCTTTTAATAACACTTTCTGAACGGTTCACCATGCTTTTACTTTTTAATTAGCTAAAAGAACAATCCAATTTTAAGTGTGAGAAAGTTGGAAAATTCTAAGCACGTCAATGAGCACTGCTGTAATTGGTCAATCGAGCAACCAATGAGAAGGACCTATCAGTTATACCGCACTAATTTTATTGGATATTCAAGTCAGATGGTATTTTAAAAATATTCGTCTTCTACCTGAGTGTGTTCACACCCACTAAGATCGCGGACGTGATCAATTGGGTTTTTACTGTGGTAGTTTGATCGAGGAGTCTGATCAGACAGGCTAAAGGGACGATGACTTTATAAAAGAGTTGAATTCCTCAACCTGGTAATTGAATCCGGTTTTTTTGCTCAGTTTTCGTATCACAACGCACTCAGAACTTAAAAAAATTATTTAACGTGATGATTGGCCGCGAAAAAAAGAAACTTGTTATTGATCAAGATAATGGACTACAGAGGTATGTGCGTTTTGTCGATAATCAGGGGCAGATGATTTTGCAATGGGATGGACCAGTGTCAATTATTTAAGGATCCAATGATACGGATCGTATAGCTCACCAGCTTCAGTTACATACATCGCATTCGAGGCAGGTGTGGATGCTTCCAGTCTGTTCTTCCCCTTGAAAACGATAGGGTTGTGTTTATGAATTCTCTCAATCATTATCGTGATGACGACAATGCGCTATAACCGCCGTCTCTAATTTCACCCCAAGCCTCTGGGCCACGTGCTACGAAAGACGGTGATCAGATTGCAGAACACGTGCCCGGTGCTTCCATTTCAAGCAATTTTCCACAAAGAGTGGGCTATAGCGCTATAGTGATTTCCGTGCTAATCCACACATCATCATCTTTAAAATCTACTTTATTCATTGCTAAAACGGTAGAGAATTTTGAACCGAATTTACATTCCCAATTCCTACTATGTCCGCGGTTTACCAACAAATGGTGCTTCTTCTAATTACTCGGTATTTCCTCGTGGTCCATTTACGTCAATCTTACCACGTTCTACAACCGAGCATCAATAATGCATCATCATAGCCTCTTCGATACAGCGGTCCCGTGTGTTGCTTTTTTCCTGACTTTTTTCTCCTGTTAACCCCTTCGCCTATAAATGGTAGTACTCCTTATCGCCCCATGTTCGCATGACCCGGTGGGATCCAAGTGTTCACGAGACTACAAACTCGACGAATTTGTGGGAGTAATAGCCACCAGGCCTACCACAAATTGAATCAATTAAACTCGAAAATTCAAATTTGGAAAAAATTCGAATCGACGCGATGTAGCGACTAAAACAAAGTCATACCGAGAAAACTACTTGGCTTCAACGTGTTGTTGAGCATCGGAGAGTGGGATTTGCATTTGATATTTGCTAAACATGGCGGTAGGTAATTTCCATGGTTAAATTACTTGGTTACATTTTTGTCAAGGCTGCGCAGAATTTGATCAACAAAGTCCCCTAAAGCCGAGAAGATGAGCGCCTCCTGTAAACAATATACTGCTTTCGGCGGTTTAACTGCACCAAGTTGATATGTTTTAGCAACCAGGACTACAGAATAACGTTGATTAGCATATTCAACAACGCCAAATGCAGATTTCATGGGTGAGGTAGTTCTCGTGGCGTTGGAAAAGAGCGGAAATGAAGGCGGTGCAACTAAACAGGTCAATTTCGAAATCACTGCTTTCGAACAATGCTTTTAAATCGTAGATTAGTTTTTGTTAGAAACAACTGAAGAAGGAATAGAGATATAGGTGTCAATGATGCAACCGGCAACATCAGTGGGGAAGTAAGAGTAGTAAAATTACTTACTCAAACCAAAAACACCCACCTATTGGGGAGTTATCCAAATCATCTAATGTGGGCACAGATGTTCCGGTATTGTGGTAACAGCACCCACGCCAGAGTCCAACGTTGGGGCGATTCTACTCACGATTTCAGTCGACGCATAAGCACACACACACACACACAATTACGTGAAATCAAACTCACTCACGTGTTTACTTTCCTGGTTTCCCACCAATTCATCTAGTTCGCAAATTTGACGCTTCAAATAATGAGTAGAACTCCTAGCAACCAGCAAAACCGGTATCTATTATTCGCAGACCGTAAAATAATGTTTACTTAGTGGCTGAATTCATTTTGGACCCCTTTAATGCGAAAATACTCAAAAAAAAACAATATGCATTGTGGTTACACGATTGTTTTTGCATGCCTAAATAAAGGAAATCGAACGTCCAGTTCAGGCTGCTTGTACGTTAAGAGCCTACATAGGTGTGGTCGTTGCTTACACCCTCAGTAATACCTCGGTAACCTAGATAAAGACCACCGTTTGCTTTATTCAATCCCAAACGTGAAACGGGCAAGCTGTAGCAGGTAGTTGTATCACGAATGAGTGAGGCAACGGCACTGCGTTCCACAAGGCGGGCATTCACCAGCTCACACGTCTTCTGCTTCGAATTTTTGCGTCGAATTCATAAACATGCGCTCCTACTTGGCCCTACTGATGGTCCTCCTCCAGACAAGTAGTCGAAATTCAGCAAAAAACGGTTGTCTCGCATGATTCAGACATTCGTCAATTAGTGGTGGCTATTCCAGGCAGGTAGCACCACTGTTTCCGTTGGATTCGGTTAGAGATGTAATATTGCGCAAACGATGGTAACCTCGGTGTTGACCTTGCTTCTACCCTATTAGAGATGACATTTAATGTAACTATGCAGAATAAAACTTATTAGTAAATAATAAGCAATTTACCACGTCAGTACACAGCTACACGTCATTCTCGAGTGGCGTGATCGCCTTGTGTACACGTGGACCGACTGTCTGATATACAAACCTCCAAGTCTGTTGCACCATTAATGGATTTTGATGAACTTCTACTGTGTGTATCCTACGCTCAATAAAAACACTCCACTTAATTGTGACTCGAATTGTGGACTTTAGCGTGATGTTCACGCCGAATTGGTTCAACCCAAGGCCGGTTTACGTCGAATCCACAAGAACCCATCCTCTCATAAATGAAGTTCAACGGGTTTAGTTGGAAGTCAAGGAAAAAGCTGGTGGTAGGTCAACTTTACAAGCTCAAGAAACACCTACGTGAATTGGCTTCCAAGTTGGTAGCCATCAGGGCCTATGAAGTTGCCTTTGACGTAGCCAGTAAAAAGCGGGAGATCGCCAACACCGGAGATGACAGACGCAATCGCTTCTACCGTGCTAACTAGAAACTGTGTATTTCCAGTTCAGACATGACAACGTAAATAACTAGGGCGACATTTACCGACTCCCTGTGGACGCAAATGTCGATAGAAATGGACTTTAGTTAGGCATTTATAATTTTTTAGCCAAATTTAGATTAGACACGACGTAATAAAACATTCACGAACATCAAAAATCTAAAACTACGGGAACAATCTCTAGACTATGGGGCTAGCAGACCACCCCAGATGGCCATGGGCGCGGAAGAGGAGCAGCCGCCAGACACGAAGCAGACAATCGTTGCTCGATTGCTATCCACCAATCAGAACTTAACGACCTTGGCACGTCATCACACAGGCTTTCGTTGTGTGCCTGAGCGCGTACGCACTCGCACCAGCTATGCACGCCAGCTTGTCCAATCGCGTGCAAACACAAGTGCTACTCCGCGCGCTTTCACACCAAGGCCATACAGCGACCTTGAATTGGCGCGTGCGCAAGTTCGTGCGTATGTCTGTGCACGCGTATGTCTAGTGTGCCCAAGAGCGCCTTTACATTTCATACGTGCGCACGCAGCGCGCATGCTGGCTTCGCCATTCATTCACTGAGATAGACGCGCCACATTCGGATGTGTACCGTACCGGAGGACGTTGCGGTTGTCTCGTCTGCCATCCCCTCTTCGTCCCACTCAATCCTAACTCCCGGGGTTTTTCAGCCGAGCCGACGCAAGAGACGTCGTGAGGGCGATAGTTTCTCGACGAATACGCCGCCGACGACCACTCCCGCGGTTCCAGTGATGCGTGAAAGCGAAAGTAACAACCCCGTTCTAGGCTCCGAAGCGACTACCGACAGCACACTCTTGCGAAGACTCCTGGCAGGAGCCGACCTGGCGAGCGTACGGAACCACAGTGTTCTGGTGGATAGCAATTTTTCACTGCGGAGAACGTCTTCCATGTCCATCGGTTCATCGCGTCACCGGTCTTGTGCATCAGACCAGACTGCTGAGGATCTTCGTCCCAGGTGTTCTACTATGTTTAGTCAACTGACTCTCCCTCGCAGATCTCCTCTCGCTGGCACTCCTGAACGCGAGGAGGAAGAATGTCCACGTAAACGAGTTAAAGACGCAACGGACGCCAACAGCAGAAGCAGCTCTCCGCTAGTTCCTGTCAAAGTTGAGTCTCGGGACCCTGAAGAACGTCCAGCTTACCACTCCCCCGATAATCCAGACGCTGGAGCTGTTCGAACCTCCGAAAAATCGACGCCGAGGTTCCCAATGAAACCCTCCAAGCGATGGAGGCTGAAAAGTCCAACCCGACAAACGCCTTCACACAGTCTTAGTCCTCCTGCTGTTCCTAGTACCTCGCGTGCAGACTCGAGTGGTGTACTTCCAATGCGTCCGCGAGCCCGCACAACTTCCGAGTTGGACAGGGTATTTAGGATGTTTACTGAACGTTTGCCTTCACAGAGCAAACAGCAGTTAGAGCGCTTCCGCGATCTGTGCTTGCCCCTCGGTTCTGATTGCCCCTTCGATCCGCTAGGTAGTGGACTGCAAATTGGTAAATCCGTGACAACTTCCAAAAGTGAGAACAAGTCTGGAGATTCCGGTGATAAGGCCTCAGACATAACATCTCCCCTTAGCCAGCTGCTTGAGTCCACGCCACCGTTTAGTGGAGGTTCGAACACTATTCATACTCGCGCAAACACTACGACCTCTGTTTTTCCCTGGTCCAATTCGGCTGCTTCTTTAAAAAGCAACACGACATCCTCTTCGGCGGTTCGTTTAAGTCTCCCTTTCCCCGGCAACGGGTCCCTCCGAATAATGTCTACGACGAACCCAACGAAGCCTCCCAACTTGGAGGTGCTGGAGCTAACCAAGGCCCCAGTCGCTGCTTCGACCGCAACAGTTGACACTGTGGCTTCAATTCTTGCTGCAACCTCCGCCTTGACATCTTCTCGGTTCCTCCAAGGCATCCGTGACGAACCGATTCTAAATTTTAGCCGAGAAGAAACCTCCAGACCACCCATTCCCCTATCTCTAACAACCGATGACATTCTCCAGTGGTCCACCACCGCGGCAAGCCAAGCCGCTGCCCTCCAGCAGTTATTCCGCCTTCCCGAATCTGGTCCAATTGGGGCTCCTCCGAATTCCCGTCCTTCTGTGGGCACAGACGACGCACAAGCCGCCCGTCTTCCTATTCGTCTGGCAGCCGTCAACCCACTTCTACTTTGCCGCCGTGTAGCCGAATGGATGCTGGTCGCTAACGCGTGGACGATGCAGATGTGTCCGCCTTCCGCTGTTCCACCGAATGCTCTTCTCGCCACCGCTGCAACCTACCGGTACTGCCGATGTTCTGAGGCCGAATTTCAAGCGGCTCCGCCCATAACTCCCACATTGGCGATGCCTAAAGTTAGCCATGCCCTGCGAGCAGTGCTTCATCGAATTTGGCCTCAACTCTTACTAGCTTCCATGATTCGGGAGAACTTTGCATTTTCCACGGTCCCCATCCCCCCGACGGAATTGAACGTCCTCCTCGGAAGAGATGCCTTGGCAAACGGCTCAGCGTCCGCGTCGGGTGCGGAAATCAACATCGCCAAGATGGGAACGGCCAACGCCCTCAGAAGCCTGATCGAGGCTGGCAATCCACTGCTCCTCGACACCCAAGTACTTGAATGCGTCCGGAAGTGCATCTTTGCTCAGCGTACGTCTCCCTTCTTTAACTGCTGATTTCCATCATTTGAGATAGCGTAGTCGTCAACTTGCCTGTGGTAGGTGTGCCGGTATGTTTCGCTTAGGGTTTCTGGTCGGTCAAATTAGGTAAGTCGAACCGGCTCTCGATGGTCTAAACTACTTTTGTAGGTTTTTCGTCTACAGGTCTTCATGTCTGGTTACATGGTTTGCCAGTCATTGTACCCTATTGTCTCCGTTGCCCTAAAGCATATAGTACCGCCCTGGTTCACCCAAACTTGTTGCTACCTGGTGTTGTCTTACGGTAAATTTATTTGTAATCCGGGCCGATCTAATTCCGCCGTTTTACGTATAAGCGTTCTGATCTCATATTGAAGGCACCAATAGTAAACTAAATTGCCGAATTTTACCGGCTTTTACGAACTCAATTTGGCGTTTTTGCGGGCCTGTTACGCAATGTCTTGGCATTTTGTGGCAAAAACAAATCTAGAAGGCCGTTTCTACCTTCTTAAGGTCTGATCTTGGACAAATTTTAGCCGTTCAGGCTGCAATTTTTCGAATGTTCTTGCATGAGTGTACGCGGTAGAGCAGAGTTAGGCTTTGGAAGTCCAAACTGTGTAGGTTCGACTTTAGACAAATGTTTCAACATGGAGAACAACGGTAGCGGCACCAACCTGTTGGTAGTCCTCATTCGTACCATGGTATCGAAGTGTAGTCGGGGTAGTGGCTGAAGATCACCTGGTAGGACGATCCCGTACGTCGTAATACTTGGACCCTCAATTTTTCTGGTGGCCTTGTGTAACCCACGTTGAACATGGTGGACGGACGTTAATTCGGCACATTCATTTTCGTGCAGGGATTAAATGATACTGTTTTATTTTATATCTAGCCTGATGATTTTTGTGCTTTTACGACTACTGCTAGTTCTACGTGGCCCTCACCGGCAGGGCCATAATGTAACCTCGGTAAATAGATGTTATCGCGCCTTTCAAAGCACCTGCTTAGTTCCCACCCTCAAATAGGTGAATAGGAGACCGGTTTTAAGCGAGTGGCTATTCGAAACAACGGGTGTGCCTCACTTTTGGTCTTATTCCTTGAAGACGTGAAGGATGTTTTGCAATGTATCCCACCACGGATGCGATGGAATGCGTGTCAACAGCGAGTTTTAACGAAGCTTACCCACCCGGCTCCCCTTATCGTGGTTCTGCGTGTCCTGTAATTGCCGTTAGCTGACTAATTCATTGTGTGGTTGTTGTATTTTCTGGCTCACAAATGTGGGACTTCGGCACAATTTGAGTTTCACGGTAACTAAATCCTCCTGATCTTTTAATGCCCAGTGTAGCAACACAGGTATCACAGAGGTCGGTAAAACGGTCTGAAAATGCTCGTGTTCCAGTCGACTTGAAGGTTAACGAGTTTTTTGTGGAACAAAGTCTTCGACGGACGAGTGTCTTGTCTGAGGCCGACAATGTTTATCAAGTGTCCGACCACACAAACGAATAAGGTGTCAACCTAACCTGGTCGTGGACAATCTTCATTTAAAACCGAAATTTTCTTTTGCATAAAATGCGTATTTAGACAGTCTTACGTCCTTCGTAGTCGTTAAAGAATACGATCCAGTTGCTCTTATTCTCTCCGTTATTCTATCCTGATTGTTAACTTTGATAAATGTCAACCAAACCATTGTGTAGGGATTCGCAATTGTGCCCTTTTCTCTCACGACTAGACTATGCAAATGTTAATTTACCAATTTGTCAAATGTTGATTCGCCGGCATCTCAAGCCCCGAGTTCTTTGGCAGCATTAAATGTACAATTCTGAAGAGAACTGTTGTCCTTGCGTCAGTACTCCCGATTGCCAACGTAGTTTCATTCCTGTTCGTCGTTTCGTGCTCTACGCCCTTCGCGAACCCCTTGTTCTAGCAGTTGCATCGCCGTAATTTACATGAATCAGGCGGAAATCTTCTCCTTAATGCATCATTTCGCTTCGCCATTTCCACCATAATTGAAGGGTTTATAGGTCCCAAAATGTCCAACATAGAGGTCCGCTAAAATTTCGCTTGTCTGTTTTGGCTTTACGGGTCGTGAGCGTCAACTGTGTAACGGCATTGCTTGTGATTTTGTGGATCAAGCTCGGTGAACCAACGTACTTCTGCTTCTAATTTCGTTCAGACGCGCATCAGATGTTACGTGTGTTTCAAAAGTAAATGTGGACTGCCTAGTTCAGACTGTGTTTGTAGAAATTCCTTAAAATTTTGCGAAAAGCCGAAAGTAGCGTGTGTTTAGGGTGTCCCTTTCTACTTGGCAGCACTTATTTGCAGATCCAATCATTTTCGGGTCCGCGTCAGTCCGTCTCGACTTTGAAGAGCCACCTTGGGTTATGTGACAGTCAGAAACACCCTCGCATTGACACTTTCCACACACCATTCTAACGACATAGCCAGTTAGAATGCCTAGGACTGATTTTGCTAAGGGTGGATTGAGAACCAGTCGTGTGTGCACGTCTCCGTGACTGTGATTTCTCCGTCAAAACAAGCGTTATGGAGAATATTTGCGTGCTTAGTGGAGTGCTAGTGTTCTCTGACTACTTGATCAATGTGGGTGTAGTTTCTGTGTGTACGTGTGTGTGTGTGTGTGCGCGCCATCATCACTGCGTGTACTTTTCAACTCGTGAAGGCTGTTGTTTTGTTACAGGCTTAAGTGTGTGTGTGCGTGCGTAAGAGCGGGTTACAGAGGTGTTTTGCAGTCCCCGTCCAGCGTACTTTTGTTGCCATAGTGGTTCGCATTGGCTCTAATTCACCTCGCGCTACCGCCTGTCACGTTTTGTCAACCTCTTGGTATTCGAAGACGTGTCCCCGGTGGTGGAGTTCCGTGCGAAACACTTCCCCCGAAACCGTCCATGACACGATAGGGTAGGACGACGGGCAGCCACACACATGGTTATGGGCACCTGTGGAAGAAATAACGTGATCGTAGGCTCCCTCCTCTGTGTGGTGGAGTCTTACCCCCTCCTCCCAAGTTTTGAGTGGTAAATTCCATACGAGAACGCTTCTCTTTTAATTAAATTGAAACGATGGCTGCTAATGTGTGGTGCATGAAACTTCCCAAGCATCTTTCAATTGCTTAACTAGTCACAAAGTGCCTTAACTGATTGATTTCGCTAGCTACACGGTAACTTTTAGTGTGTGTGCGTCGCCGTGTAGTGATGCACTTCTACCTGCAACCATTGTTGCCTCTCCTTAATGTCACTCGGTGTCACTGCACGCAGGTTACCTTTTGTTCAATTGGTCTGTCAAACGTTTCCAGAAACGGCAAATAACAGCACACTCCACTGCATCTTCAGTAATTTTTGCCGCGGAATCCAACACCAGTGTCCTAGACGCCACGTTGACTGACGTCTACGTTGGGTGCAAATGACGCTAATTTAAAATAAATTACCGTTGTTTTATGTACGAAAAAGCGGTGAAGGAGTCTCTTGATTGACTGTGAAATGAGTCAAATTAGCGTTACGAATGCCTATCAAAATCAGTTCCGAATTAGCTACAATAGGTGCCTCAGGAATGTTCCTATGCCTGCACTGGGAGGGCCACACTGCAGCCCTCAACCTTGCTTTTTCTTCAATTAAGGAACTGGCCAATGAGGTGTACGTAATCTCCACTCATTGTCAACACCATCAATTGGTTTGTTGTTGTTGTTGTCACGATTGTCCTTTCAACAGTGTTTCCTTGGAAAACGCGTCTCTCCTGACCCGTAGTATCCTCCCCTCTCGTTATGCTTTTCACCAACATCAACTTGTGTCAGTTAACACACCTGGATTTCGACCAGCTTTGAGTTTTCGGCCTTCGCTTTTTTCAGATGCCTTCCCCGCCTACTACCCCGTGCCCTACGCTACCGCGATCGACGAGCTTCGACAGTGTTGCCACCGCTGTTCCGGTGATGCTTCTCTCTTCAACAACGTCATCCTCCTCATGAATGAGATGCAGTCGATCAATCCCGAGGGCCTCCATTGTCTCTTTTCGATCGACAAACTCTCTGGCCTGTTCGCGCCTGACGCCTGAAGCCGCGCCAATCTCCTACACTTTGTGAACCCGGTTAGTAAATCTGTCAGCGCGCCAACCACAACAACACCAACAACCCCCACCCCTTCTCCTTTCTTGCCACCAAATGCATTTGTACTAAATCCAAGGCAATAAACAGTGCGTGTCAGCACGCACAGCCCCTCTTACTCTCAAGCGCCAATTGTTTTGAAAGTCGGACCACGTTTCCGTATGTATAATATCCATATACATATTTTAAAACCGAGACTCATGTCTCTTCCCTCCTTGTGCGTGTGTGTGTGTGTGTGTGCTGTGGCGAAATCTTTTATTCTCAAGCGCCAATCTGTACATCTGTTCGCGCTGTTCACTCCTCCTCAATGCAAGTGCGCATGACGAGAAAAAATGACGAGGTTTTAACCTTCAGTGCTTTCAAAAAAAAGCGCATCATTAAGCACAACCCGCGCCCTTTCTATTCCCTCCATTAATTTTTTTGTTTAAAAAAGTTTTGATTGCAATTCCCTCGGGCTCCCGTGATTGGTCAGACGTTTTGGTTGTGCACTTACGACTGAATAAAGTTCGTATCGATCGTCAAGGCCGCGTGAGGCAAGCCGGGCGAATAATATCGATCGGGCGCAAGTTAGGCGGCGAAGGTGGGGCTTTGGCAGGAAAAGCGTGGCAGCCACAAGTGGTCTGCACTTCTACCGGCCTCTGGTTGCGCTCTTGTCAGGCCGTGTGACTATTGGCTTGCCGAGTGAGGCTCCGAGCGAGTTTAGTCCGTCGTACTCCTCCGTTGAGGTTCACCAATTTACCTCAAACTCCAGTGCCGAATAGTCGATGGCCTTGGTTTTATTTGAGTCTGCTTGGCAGTACAGAGCACTTTGGTGGTTTGTTCTGAGTGTGTACAGGCAACTAACCTTCAGAAATTCAATCTAAAAAAACAGTACCCCTAAATCGGCGTCTGATTTTTTTGTAAGTTCCAACATGGAAATCACGATGCCGCGGGATCTCACAAATTCAAAAACAAGTCTGTTTTGAAGTATCCAGTATGTGGATGTCCAGTGCCTCGTGAACATGAGAACCGAACGCGGCTAACGAGTCTAGCTGAGCGTCTAGACACGTTTCCGGCAAACGGAGCCGTGGATTTAGGGAGACACAGTTGGAGGACGCCGCGCCTGCTTTTGTATGTGGCCTGTATTCTGGACATTCATCTGCGGGCTGTAGTACACGTGCCCGAAAGTTAATCCAATCAACGTTGGGGAATTCAGCGTCAAATTTCTACAATTTCGGCAGGCTTACGCCGTAGACAGCTCGTAGTTCTGACAAGGACTTCGACAGAAAATTGACCCTGGCTTAACCATTTTAGCATTTCCCAAGCAGTGTTTCCAACCAATACTGAAATGCACCTGAAATTTTAAAAAAAGGGGCCTTCCTCAGGTGGCTCGAGATTTTATAACTTACGAAAGAAATTTATCCTTAGCGTATACTTTCTTTATGGAAGCCCATAGTGTTCATTGGACTGTCATCTCCTGTCGATCAAAATTAGCTAAGTATCGCCGACTTTCACACAGGTCACTTCAACCATCTCCAGGCTGTGTAGGCTTCCTATCGTGCTAGGCGCTAACTACATTGCAATCACATGTGACAAGAGCGACGGCAATTGTCATTCGCGGCACAAAGTGTCTAGGGTCTAGTGCCGAGCCGAGCGCCATCGCAACTTGCGGTGTCTGGTGGTAGAGTCTTACTTGTTGATCAGACACCCGTGTGTCTGGGTTTTTTGGTTGGCGTTTAACTTGGCGCTAGAGTCACGGTAGCAAAGGCAAGCCATCGACTGGCCTCCAAATGTAGGCAAAAAATGCGATAATGCGAGGCGATGATCCTGTGCAACAGCCTAGAGGGTGGTTTCGTGAATCCTTCCGCACATCTTGGATAGTACTGGGTCTGAAAATGCTAGCTGTCTCGATCCTATTTTCTGATAAAAGCGGGAATTTATCTTGTAACCTCAAATATTGCATCCAAATCGGCTTCCGCCTTGGTGATTGTTGTTGATGAAATGGCGCTCAAATTTGACTGCGTTTGGACGTAACTCACACCACAAGTAAACCTCTCCTGATGCAGTAAACGGCACGTCCAAACCCGAAAGTAGTAAACAGAAAATAATAGTTTTTTTTCATGAACTGAATTCTAAATTTAGTTAAAATTCTAGGCCATATGAATGACATTTGTTCACGTTAGGAGGGGGTGCAATTATGCCAAATTTCTAGGAACACCCTCTGGTAACTAGGCTTATTTCCACAAGGTTGCCTGCCGTATTTCGGAAGGCATGTTGGCGACCGTCGTCTCATCCTGCAGAAGCCATTGCTTTAACAAGGTTGGGGGTAGTTTTTCTTGCTTAGGGGTGATAGTATTTAGGCGACCTCAGCAGATTTTCAATTGAGTGCATCTGTGCCACGAAGTGATCCGGTTTTGGTCCTATCTTGAGGTATCAGGACTTCAATGACATAACTCGATTTCTCATCAAGAACTGTCTCGGCGCGCTTGTGTTCATTCCAGGCGGAAATCACTTTATTGCTTGATGTGCAGGGAACAGCGTCTCAATTAGCACTCACCCTAGCCTGTGGCCCGCCACCGTCGTTATGGCAGGGCGTTGGTTAGCTTGTTCTGTGCTGTGGGTCACGTGAATGGGAGTGCGTGTGTGAACAGATACGGTTTAGACATTTATCTGGCATCAGAATTGCTGCAAAATCGATGGTACTCACGAGAGTTGAAGGCAGATTCAGGAAACACTCGATTCCTATGCAAGGCCGCACCATTGGTTAGGCTGTAATAGAGCTTGGAGTGGCCTGCCTTTGCTTCCGATTCCAGACAGTTGGTTAGTGCCCATTCTTGATGCCCTTTACACTTTTCTGGACAACGCTTTTCAAGGCCCAGCGGTGGAGGGGTGGTGGGTCATGCATTTCTTCAAAAGCTAACGGGTTGCTGTTTGCGAAAAATGGTGGTCGCCCTGGTGGATCTACATCGCTATTTTTGACTTTCCAACGCTCTCATGCTGTCCTCCCTTGTGCTCCTGGTTCACCGCAAACGCCCTGGGACGCATTCAGGGATCCATGTCGGTGTATTCCAAACCACAGCGTCAAGCACAGGGGGCATATCCCTTGTATTTCGTGTAGACTAACCATTGCAACATGGTTACTTTTGCATTATTTAGTCGTCATTCCATACACCACTGAGGGATCGTGTTGTGACCGGATTCGCAAAGAGGGGTTGGTTATGCTTATTGTCACAATGCCGAAGAAGTCTATCAGAAAAGGGGACTAACACCAAAAGTATTGTCTTTGACGCCGAAATAGAGACTCCTGTTAGGTTATTTCGAGAGACTTTTGTCATAATCAACAATAAGTCAGTGCGTGGATCAAAAGAAGTTTGGCTTTCATTGTCAGACCTCCACTGACAACGTCTGTAGGCTCAATTTCCAGACTGTTGAGGAATGAAAGACGAAATATTAGTTCATGAAGAGACTAAATTAGGTGCATTGTATTGCTTTTATCGCGGTCAGACGTTGTCTGTCTCAATAACAAAATATGGCCAGTCAATTCTAATTGGACTATGTGTTGAATGAATTATCTAGTAGTATATAGCGGTTTTAAACGAAAAAAACGGCTAATAGTGAGAGCTGAAAATCACAGGAGTTCGATTTAACGACCAACAGGTTCTGCCGGTTATCTCCCTACTCCAGCACACCAAGGCACATCAATTTTGAGGGTGTTATGTTGCCTGAATGCTGCAATGCATCTACACAAAGCCACGTCACCAGCTCCACTTAATTTACTCAGATCTCTCGGTTCGGTGAGTCAGCACGGATTAATGAAGCATTATGAAGATGCCTTGTGATCAACAAGGACTTTTAAGGGCAACGCTGAGTTCCACATACTCATGCGGCGGATGGCGTGATTGTCACGGCGGTTGTGGTGCGTGCGGAAGATGTGAATCACCCTGGCATAACCCTTGTGGTCCCGTCGGGCCAACTTGACCTGAAGGGGGGTAATTGTACCCTAAGACTCACGAGTGGCAATCCTAACCGCAGCTTAACTTAGCTATCAACAGGTCTTTAGTGGTCGTATGCTGAGATTACGTATTTTACTGGTCCATTAGTAATGTCGTAATTAATCGAGAGCACCTCGCAGCGTGTTTCGTGGCTCTTCAAGTGAGGCTGCAACAGTTCCAACGCGTCGCGAATAAGAAGCGCTACCTCGAGATTACTTGGGTGTTCTGTACACGCCCCAGTCAGTAATTTAGTTGGTCAACGTGGGCTGGGTAGATGCCACACGTTCTCTTTGTGCCAACTTCACCTCAGGCAATAAAGCCATTCGGAATCGAGGCATTCGCTTGTGTGGCGGCGTTCTTTTTCACGTATGCACATGTTAATAAAAACAGGCAGCCAGCAGTAGTGTCTGGCGCGAGGATGACTCACGCCACTGGCGTCTTTCTGGCCTACCTGCAAGTTGTCTTTCACAAATTTTGAGACTATTTGTGCTGTTTATCGGAACGCCTCTCCCTCCAGCTGAATTTTGTCTGTTCTCTCCTCGTGATGCTAGAGGTCTCTGCACTTTCCGGCACAATACAGCATGAAGCAATCAAAGAGTCAATGAGACGAGAAAGAGAGAGACTACCGTTTATTTGCCGTCTCAACCCAGTTGAGCTGTTGATCAATGCAGTCTGGGTTAATCTGTACAAGTACGAATGGCTGATCTGTCGGGTGAATGAAACGGGTAGCGTGGCAAGCTCGATAGGGACGGCGTGGAAGTGAGATCGGAGTGGCTGAGAATGCCACAGCCGAGATGAAGATCATGAATCAACACGATTCACCACAGTCTTGTTGCGCTTAACACTTTTCAACACATCCGTCCGTTCTCATTCTCCTATTCTTACGTCGACAGTCATCTGGCTCTCTTCCAAGTCATCTGCTATCTCACGCTTTGGAGTCACGTAATGGTGGTGGTGGTCACCGAGGCGATTGCAAGAACTGCGCCAGCAGATTCTGGTTGACTCACTCCCTACCGAACACCAGGACGACCACTTTTGTTAAAGCTGAAATTTGCTAATGTCTTATATATCCAATTTCACATTCACATTAAACGAGTTGTAATTGCTTAATTATGGCCTCTCACCACCGACTCTTCTGTCAGATCTCTTCATCTTCCTCCCACTCACACACCCTCTTCTCAGAACCTCTACTTGACAGTACAATCCTGTAATTAATGAGCACCTTGTTAACCTGAACTCGCCACTTCATAAGTCCTCGAAAACACCAAAGTGTGTGTGTGTGCTAATTTGCTTTTGACCGCTGTAATTCGACACTCTCCGATGCTGGCATGGCAGCTCACTCCGGATTCGCTAGCTGCAATTGGGGCTGTAATGAGTTCGTCACAAGTCCGCTGTCTGTTATCTAGGCTACATTTCTACTGGCTAGATATCCAAGGTTGTCGTCTTGTGGGGTTTGACTGAGAGGAAAGAAAAACAAGCGAACGGCGGTCTGAAAAGTGCACCGTTATTTCCAGAAACAGTGTGTATGTGCGTGTGAGATATTAATTCCACACGTTGGTAATAGTCACGCGCCTTTATTTCTACGTGGGTCTAAACTTAACCTCTCTGTTCCCATTTGACACTTGTTAAACACGATAATTTTCTTTCTCGATTAGCCAAATTGGCTTCACTCGGGCCAAAACCTCAATTTTCTGAGCACAAAAATGATCACCTTAGTTTTGAGTCAGAGAAAGCAACTGCCTCGACCTCTCCCCACATCTCCCCTCTACCACTTGAGCTTATTTTTGAAG